AACCGACCCTACTATTCAGCTCTCTAGCTACTTTTACTAGCAGCCTTGCACAGTGTTTTAATGTCAATTGATCCATTTTGCTTATGAAAAACACTCTTTTTGTAATGAAATAGTTAGCCCAACCCAACCACCCTTGAGTTAAGGATTACGAAGGATGAGAATGTAACGCAACATAAAACAAGTACAATAAGGACATGGAAAAGGATGCTGACCCACAATGATGAGGTGGAGGAAGGACACTGATGCTTCAAAACTCATCAGCGACAAGACTGATGAAACAGTCCATCCTCCAAAAATTAGCCTCCAGATCCAATGTGAGTTTGCTGGGAGGGGCGGATAGCAAACACTTTTTAATATCACTATGAATTTGTAAAATATACCACCTGATTAGGAAATCCCATGGACACAGGAGCCTGGTGGGCTATAGTCTATGGGTTCGCAGAGTTGGACACGACTGAGTGACTAACACTTGCACTTTTCTCGGTCAAAGTTCCCAAGTCTCAGTGGCAAACGAGCTGCCTGTCCACTGACCACCTGCAGCATTCTTATCTGTGCCTGTCTTATGACTCCTGACTTTTGAGCTGTGTTAGCTCCCTGATTGGACACCCTTGTAGGGTAAGATCCCAACTTGATAATACTCCAACTGTAATACTCGGAATCCCCCTCAGCACTGGGTCCTGCTGCACTGGGTCTGGGACGGTGGGTGTGTGCCAACACCAAAGGAATGACCTGCACACTCTGGAACACCTCTCCATCAGACCTCCACTAAGAGTCCTAGGAAATGGGTAAGAAGATGATAACTTGGTTTCTGCCCTCCAGGCACTTACAGCTCAGACCCAGAGATTAGATTCAGTTCAGTTCAGTCGTTCAGTCATGTCCGACTCTTTGCCACCTCATGAATTGCAGCACGCCAGACCTCCCTGTCCATCATCAACTCCTGGATTTTATCCAAACTCATGTCCATCGAGTCAGTGATGCCATCCAACCATCTCATCCTCTGTCGTCCCCTTCTCCTCCTGCCCCCAATCCCTCCCAGAATCAGGGTCTTTTCCAATGAGTCAACTCTTCGCATGAGGTGGCCGAAGTATTGGAGTTTCAGCTTCAACATCCGCCCTTCCAATGAACACCCAGGACTGATCTCCTTTAGGATGGACTGGTTGGATCTCCTTGCAGTCCAAGGGACTCTCAAGAGTCTTCTCCAACACCACAGTTCAAAAGCATCAATTCTTTGGCACTCAGCTTTCTTCACAGTCCAACTCTCACATCCATATGTGACCACTGGAAAAACCATAGCCTGGACTAGACAGACCTTTGTTGGCAAAATAATGTCTCTGCTTTTTAATATGCTATCTAGGTTGGTCATAACTTTCCTTCCAAGGAGTAAGCGTCTTTTAATTTCATGGCTTCAATCACCATCTGTGGTGATTTTGGAGCCCCCAAAAATAAAGTCTGACACTGTTTCCCCATCTATTTCCCATGAAGTGATGGGGCCAGATGCCATGATCTTGTTTTCTGAATGTTGAGCTTTAAGCCAACTTTTTCACTCTCCTCTTTCACTTTCATCAAGAGGCTTTTTAGTTCCTCTTCACTTTCTGCCATAAGGGTGGTGTCATCTGCATATCTGAGGATATTTCTCCCAGCAATCTTGATTCCAGCTGTGCTTCTTCCAGCCCAGCGTTTCTCATGATGTACTCTGCATATAAATTAAATAAGCAGGCTGACAATATACGCCTTGACATACTCCTTTTCCTATTTGGAACCAGTCTTTTGTTCCATGTCCAGTTCTAACTGTTATTTCCTGACCTGCATATAGGTTTCTCAAGAGGCAGGTCAGGTGGTCTGGTATTCCCATCTCTTTCAGAATTTTCCACAGTTTATTGTGACCCATACAGTCAGAGGCTTTGGCATAGGCAATAAAGCAGAAATAGATGTTTTTCTGGAACTCCCTTGATTTTTTGATGATTCAGCAGATGTTGGCAATTTGATCTCTGGTTCCTCTGCCTTTTCTAAAACCAGCTTGAACATCTGGAAGTTCCCGGTTCACGTATTGCTGAAGCCTGGGCTGGAGAATTTTGAGCATTACTTTACTAGCGTGTGAGATGAGTGCAACTGTGCGGTGGTTTGAGCATTCTTTGGCATAGCCTTTCTTTGGGACTGGAATGAAAACTGACCTTTTCCAGTCCTGTGGCCACTGCTGAGTTTTCCAAATTTGCTGGCATACTGAGTGCAGCACTTTCACAGCATCGTCTTTTGTTTGTGGGAATGCAAACTAGTACAGCCACTATGGAGAACAGTGTGGAGATTCCTTAAAAAACTGGAAATAGAACTGCCATATGACCCAGCAATCCCACTCCTGAGCATACACACCGAGGAAACCAGATCTGAAAGAGACACGTGCACCCCAATGTTCATCGCAGCACTGTTATAATTGCCAGGACATGGAAGCAACCTAGATGCCCACCATTAGACAAATGGATAAGGAACCTATGGTACATATACACTATGGAATATTACTCAGCCATTAAAAAGAATTCATTTGAATCAGTTCTAATGAGATGGATGAAACTGGAGCCCATTATACAGAGTGAAGTAAGACAGAAAGATAAACACCAATACAGTATACTAATGCATATATATGGAATTTAAAAAGATGGTAATGATAACCCTATATGCAAAACAGAAAAAGAGACACAGATGTACAGAACAGACTTTGGGACTCTGTGGGAGAAGGTGAGGGTGGGATGTTCAGAGAGAACAGCATTGAAACAAGTATACTATCAAGGGTGAAAGAGATCACCAGCCCAGGTTGGATACATGAGACAAGTGCTTGGGCCTGGTGCACTGGGAAGACCCAGAGGGAGCAGGTAGAGAGGGAGGTGGGAGGGGGGATCGGGATGGGGAATACTTGTAAAACCATGGCTGATTCATGTCAATGTATGACAAAAACCACTACAATATTGTAAAGTAATTAGCCTCCAACCAATAAAAATAAATGAAAAAAAAAAAAAGAAACCTCCAAAAAAAAAAAAAGGATTTGAAAAAGCTCACCTGGAATTCTATCACCTCCACTAGCTTTGTTATAGTGATGCTTTCTAAGGCCCACTTGACTTCACAGTCCAGGATGTCTGGCTCTAGGTGAGTGATCACACCATTGTGATTATCTGGGTCGTGAAGATCTTCTTTGTACAGTTCTTCTATGTATTCTTGCCACCTCTTCTTAATATCTTCAGCTTCTGTTAGGTCCATACCATTTCTGTCCTTTATTGAACCCATCTTTGCATGAAATGTTCCCTTGGTATCTCTAATTTTCTTGAAAAGATCTCTAGTCTTTCCCATTCTGTTGTTTTCCTCTATTTCTTTGCACTGATTGCTAAGGAAGGCTTTCTTATCTCTCCTTGCTATTCTTTGGAACTCTGCATTCAAATGGGAATATCTTTCCTTTTCTCCTTTGCTTTTTGCTTCTCTTCTTTTCACAGCTATTTGTAAGGCCTCCTCAGACAGCCATTTTTCTTTTTTGCATTTCTTTTCCATGGGGATGGTCTTGATCCCTGTCTCCTGTACAATGTCACGAACCTCTGTCCATAGTTCATCAGGCACTCTGTCTATCAGATCTAGTCCCTTAAATCTATTTCTCACTTCCACTGTATAATCATAGACTAATATGTACTAATTAACAAAAAGCAATGGAAGATAAGGAACAGGCTTCCCTGGTGGCTCAGATGGTAAAGAATCCGTCTGGAATACAGGAGACCTGGGTTCGATCCCTGGGTTGGGAAGATCCCTTGGAGGAGGGCATGGCAATCCACTCTAGTATTCTTGCCTGGAGAATCCCCATGGACAGAGGAGCCTGGTGGGCTACAGTCCACAGGGTCACAAAGAGTGGGACATGACGGAGGGAGTAAGCACAGCACAGAAATGGGAGACAGAGAACAGATCACTGACAACAGACTGGGTACCCGCTCTAAGTCAAAGAAGAGGCTTCTTTTCTGCAATGAAACTGGATCTTAGTAGTATGTTTATTTTGGATTGGTGAAATGATAGGCACTCCAGGGGATCAGAATATAGGATCAGGACAGGAATAAAGCATCAAAAGAAGCTGCCTGAACAGTCACCCTTTGGCTACTCAGGACAGTCCCCAGGCTAAGTGCATTATTTGTATGCATTATTTGTCTAATCTGGACAACAATCCTGCAGAGTAGATAGCATCATTGCCAATTTGATAAGTAAGGAGCCTGAGGCTGCAGGGGATTAGTAACTGGCCAAGGTTACACAGGATTAACTGGCAGAGCTGGGATTTGAAGAGGCAGCCATTGTGCCATGCTGTGTCCTCGACAGCAAGACGCAAATAGCACCAGGTGTTTGCTTCAGAGAAGAGACTCTGTACTGATGACAGTTTCAATTGTAAAGCAATGAACACAATGTGTCATGTGTGTAGGGCTTAGTTGACTGACAAGCTGACAGGTTAGCTGACTCTGAATGTAGGTTTGTCCATCTAGAAAGAGAAGCAAGACAGCTCATCAACCAGACGAGAGTGATCTAGGGAGAAATGATGAAGGAGGGCAGCCCTAGAACTGGGGAGTATCTCTGATCAACAGGGGGCTTCCCTGGTGGCTCAGATGATAAAGAATCTGCCTGCAATGCGGGAGACCTGGGTTGGATTCCTGGGTTGGAAAGATCCCCTGGAGGAGGGCATGGGAACCCACTCCAGTATTCTTGCTTGGAGAATCCCATGGACAGAGGAGCCTGGTGGGCTATGATCCACGGTGTCGCAAAGAGTTGGACACAACTGAGCGACCAACATGTTCACTTTTTTCTTTCACTTTCTGATCAACAGAAAGCACAGAGATGCCACAGTCTCATGAAGTTGGATTAATACCTCCCACCCTAGTCTATTTCAGTCACAAAGGAAGGGAAATGATCCACCTGAACGTAGCTTTGCTGTAACGAGCATCCATTGTCAGAGGTAATGAAATAGACAGAAAATGACGGGGGGAGCATACCTGGTCTCGTTGGCACATCGGATTTTGCAGCCTTCCTTGGGAATCACCAAGCCCAGGTGCATTCGGAGCCTACAGTTCGTGGGTCCTGTGTGTGGCCACACGTGGGTTCCCGGGTGCATAATGGAATATTTGATCTGCACAGAAAACGTACCCCCTGTTCATCCCTTTATCAAGGTGTGGGAGAACCACGAAATTAAAGCAACGGTACAAAATTACTGTCAATTTTGATTAGATCCATCTCAGCACTCAGAATTTATGTTCTCAACTTGTTTCTTTGTAAAGGAACTAAAAATAAGGACTCCCATTTCCCACACAGCTATAAACACTGAACATTTCCCACCCTCAGTGCTGTAGTAAAGGCCATGAAATTGTTTCATTAAAATGTGAGTGAAAAAAGAGACATTCAGTGGGTCAAAGAAAATGACCATTTCTTCATAAACATCAGTATTTCCATTTATTCCCCTAATAACTGACTGTGTCCTCCCCAGAACTGAAAACATTCTTGATACCTGTCCTCTTCGGCATCCTGTTGTCTCAGGGAACTTATCTAGTAAAGAACAGGTCTTAGGAGCTCCTTTACAGGCATTTTCATTTTTTCTTCCTAGAACAATAAATGATAAAACCACTGTTAGGAACAAATCACAGTAAAACTTTAACTCATCCCGTTTTGACCATATACAACCTATATTGTCCCCCTCACTGTAAGAAAGAGAAGGCTAGGACTTCCCTGGTGGTCCAGTGGCAAGACTTCGAGCGCTCCTAATACAGGAGGCCCCAGGTTCAATCCCTGGTCAGGGAACTAGATCCCACATGCTGCAACTAGGAGTTCACGTGCTGCAACTAAGACTCAGTACAGCCAAAAAAATAAATAAATATTAAAGGAAAGCCAAAATAATCAATTTTAAAAAATGAGAGGCTGAGTAAACACAAGAAGACACAATATTCTGTTGCAATAGATAGTGACTGGCAGAGTACGGAGCAGAATACTCTACTCAATGGCCTACTGCATTTGATTAAATATGTCTAATGGACAGGGCATGTGTTACATGCCTATTTCCCCCCTGTGGCAGACAGAATAATGGCCCCTCCCAAAGAGGATCATAACCTAAGCCCAGTCAGTCGTAAATACATTAGGTAACATGGCAAGGGGAAATTAAGGTTGCATATGACGATGAGATTACTAACCAGCTGACCTTTAAAAAAGGAGATTATTGTGGATGAACTGGATGGGCCCAGTGTAATCACAGGGTCTAAATACACAAGGAGCAGAGAGTCAAGGCCAGAGTGACGCAGAATGAGAAAGACGTGACCGGCTATTGCTGGTTCTGAAGACGGAAGGGGACCACAAGCTAAAGAATGTGGGCAACTTCCAGAAGCCGGAGCCACCAGAAGAAATGCGAGAGCCACCAGAAGCCACCCTGATGACACTTTGATTTTAGCTCAGTGAGACCTACTTCTGACCTCTAAATTGTAAAGATGATACATCTGTGTTATCTTAAGCCACTAAATTTATGGTAATCTGTTATAGCCACAGTAAATTAATCCACCCACCCTAAGGAAGCAAAATAGCTTAGTGCATTTTCCAGGATTATATGCTAATAACCTAAACATTATTTTTCATTGAAATTTAATGTATTTTTCAATTACAGCTCATTCTTTATGTGCTGATAAAGAAGAGGGAAAGAGGTCTCTAGGAGACAGGGGTTTCTTTGAGTGACTGTCAAGAAGACAGATGTAGGTAGAATCTGAAGCACCTTGGACTATGCAACACTCCTCACCATCTACAAAAACAGTTTCTTAGGAATGATGTGCTCAGGAAGGTACAGTGCCATTTGCTTTTATGGAGGAGTATAAACGATATGTATTTTTGTGAAAGATAGACATTTTAGCTCCTAGAGTCCATGTTCTTAACTGTGACCTAAGACTGCCCCTATTACTGTTACATAATGTCTAATTATTATGTGATAAAAAACTAGTATCGCTTTCATTTGTCAGACCTTTGAACACTCACTGATCCTTGTAACAATACCATACTTAAGGCACTATTTTCATCACCATTTTTCAGCTGAGGTATCTGAGGCTCAGAGATTCAGGAACATGCCCACATTACACGGTAACAAGTGGTACAGCCAGGAGCCCAACTCAGGATCCTTCGGCTCCAAAGGCTATGCTTTAAAGCATGATTTACCATTTCATTGCATCTTGGACGTGAAGATAGCTGTGCAGAACAAACCATTCAGCTGAGGAGAAAATGCCCAGCAGCCGAACACAGTGTGGTTTTGTTATTTTATTATTTGCCACACAGTTTAAAGTAACTTTCAAGAAGTGATAAACTCTGCTTCTTTGGGGAAAAATAGCCTTAGAAAGAGATCTAAATGCCAATGCAAATCTGAGAAAACCAATTGAATATTTCATTTATATATGAAGAATACATTGTAAGAGGGATATTCATGGAGCCACCTTGGAAGGAAAGCTATGACCAACCTAGATGCATATTAAAGAGCAGAGACATTACTTTGCCAACAAAGGTCCATATAGTCAAAGTATCTCAGATGGTAAAGTGTCTGCCTGCAATGTGGAAGACCCAAGATCCTCTGGAGAAGGAAATGGCAACCCATTCCAGTACTCTTGCCGGGAAAATCCTATGGATGGAGGAGCCTGGTAGGCTACCATCCATGGGGTCACATAGAGTCAGACATGACTGAGCAACTTCACTTATAGTTTTTCCAGTAGTCATGTATGGATGTGAGAGTTGGACTATAAAAAAAGTTGAATGCTGAAGAATTGATGTTTTTGAACTGTGGTGTTGGACAAGACTCTTGAGAGTCCCTTGGACAGCAAGGAGCTCAAACCAGTGAATCCTGAAGAAAATCAATCCTGAATACTCATTGGAAGGACTGATGATAAAGCTGAAACTCCAATACTTTGACCATCTGATACAAAGAGCTGACTCAGTAGAAAAGACCCTGATGAAGATTGAAGGTGGGGGAGAAGGGGACGACAGAGGACTACACAGTTGGATGGCATCACTGACTCAACGAACATGAGTTTGAGCAAGCTCCGGGAGATGGTGAAGGACAGGGAAGCCTGGCCTGCTGCAGTCCATGGGGTCACAAAGAGTTAGACACAACTGAGAGATTGAACAACAACAATTCATGGAGTTGTGCTTTTTAAAGGTCCTGGGTTGTAGCTCTCTGAAGTTTCATTAGGCTTTACTGCTGGGATGACAATAGGTTCATCTTGCATGACAACTCTGATACCTAGAATTATCTAGGCAGCCACTGTCAACTGATCAGTGTGTTGAGAAGAATTCAAAGGTTCATCTTGAGTTCATCCAGAAAGGCTCTTGGGATCAGGTAGCACTGTCTCCCATGGGCTCTGGAAAACAAAATGAGTGTGCACGTGTGGCATATTTGCTAACTGTATGTTTTACAGTTCATCATTGTAGCAATAAACGAACAAAACAGATGTTCGGTAACACCCACATAGCAATTTGAAAGCATCTGTGGGGAAAAATTCATATGTATATTTGTTGATTCTGTCTTTTTTTCTCTAACTCAAGAAAGCTGATCATTTAAAAGGGAATACTGAAGCTCCGATACTCTGGCCACCTGATGTGAACAAAGAGCTGATTCACTGGAAAAACCCCTCGTGCTAGGAAAGACTAAAGGCAAAATGAGAAGGAGGCAGCAGAGGATGAGATGGTTGGATAGCATCATCAACTCAATGGACATGAATCTGAGCAAACTCCGGGAGATAGTGGAGGACAGAGGAGCCTAGTGTGCTGCAGTCCACGGGGTTGCAAAGAGTGGGACACAACTTAGCAAGTGAACAACAACAACATATACTTCAGAACTGACTGGGCTGCTTAGAGACCTTTTGTGATTCCCACTTCCATATGGATGGAAACCAAGCTTGAAGCCACAGCTTCAGGCCTTCAAATATTCAGTAGCATCCTTTCCTAACTAGACTAGACAACCTCTAAGTCTCTACTAAGTCACGTGTGGGCCTCTTATCGGGACCTGAGCTCTCAGTATTGCTAAGCAATAGCCCTGCCGCCTCCCTCCCCACATTTTCCTGACCCCTTTCCAGGCCGACAGGGCATCTTCCTTCAGGGACGCCGCCCTGCTTCTATGCAAACTATGTTACTGGATGCCATCAAAAGTCCTTAAACTGTGCATTCATTTCCAGAAAATACTGGATTCCTCCCAGAAGACTGGAACCACAAACAAAAGACTACACAGAACCTTAATAAAACTTCCTAAAAGAGAAACTATTTTATGATCATAAAATAAAACTAGAAATTAATTTCTAGTTAATTGACTGCAACTGATGAAAAACGGGCATGTATAGAACACACATACACTTCTAAATTATTTTGGATCATAATGGAAATCAAGATAAAATGAAGTCCTTTGGGCGGAATAATACAAGTGAAAATACACATTACAGCTTAAGAAAAGTAGTTAAAACTTTGAATCAAAGCCAGAGGTCAGTCCATAGTCTTAAATGCGTTTATTAATGAAGAAGAATGAAAATAAATTTTCTAAGAAGTTCCAATTGAAAAGTTACAAAAAACCAATAAAGTAAATAACAAAAGAACAAGAAGAGGAAGAAAAATATAAAATCAGAAATTAGATAACAATTAAAATAAGGTGAGATGTAATTTGAGTTTTTTTTAAAGAAATAATAGATCACTCTGTCAACTTAAGAAAAAAGAAGGAACATGAAAATTCCATTCAGTGGGAAGAAGGATTTAACAAAGATAACAAAGAAGTAAAGAGTACTTTAAGAAATTACTCTAATTCATGGAAAATTAGATATGATAAAAATATATGAAAATGTGTAAGTTAACAGATATTGCATGATTCCACTTATATGAACTGTTTTGTCTAAAGTTGTCAAATTCATAGACAGAGAAAGTGTAAAGGTGGTTGCCAAGGGCTGAGTTTTGCAAGGTGAAATAGTTCCAGAGATTGGTTGCCCAAAAATATGACTATACTTGACTGTACTGAAAGTATACTTAAAAACAGATGAGGTGCTAAATTTTAAGTTACGTGTATTTTGCTACAGTTGAAACCAAACCTTAAAAGTCAAACCAAATAATTTGGTTGCCACCAACCAAACTGTCTCCATTATTTATTTCCTTTTGTTTAATGTTCTTATATGCCCTACAATGCTTTGCGTATTTCAATCTTATTAAAGCACATGGCTTTAGCAGAGAGTATGGTTCCCAAAAATTACCTCCAGGATGTGTATGATTATGAAGCCTTATTCTAGAAGCCCAGTAGGTTCTATGAAGCATGAGGATGTTAATGGAAAGGAGGCATCAGGTGAACTGGTAAATGCTTACAGCCAATAGAACTGACTCATTTAGTGAGATGCCGATAGACAAAAATTAGTATGCTGTTCATATATTGACCTTACTATGTGTTAATCGCTCAGTCATGTTTGACTCTTTGTGACCTCATGGACCGTACAGCCTGCCAGGCTCTTCTGTCCATGGGATTTTCCAGGCAAGGATACTGGAGTGGGTTGCCATTTTCTTCTCCAGGGGATCTTCCCGACCTAGGGATTGAACCTGGGTCTCCTGCATTGCAGTCAGATGCTTTACCATCTGAGCTAGGGAAGCCCGACCTTACTATAGCTCTGCTTAAAAAAGTCTTGTTGGAAAAAAGCTGACAGAGTCACTTGAAATCCTGTGATCTCTCTTCTTATGGACATTTCCCTGAAAATATTACTGAAGTTGTTCTTTCTCTGATATGTAAACCTTCGTATTCTGAAAGCATACTGACATAAAGGATGGTGCTTATTTGTCCCATAATATAAACCAACTGCTTACCACTCTCTAATTTATTTTCTGCAGCTAAAGGTGTGAGACACGTGCTGGTTAGTCTTCAGAATGAATTTACTTTTGTACAGCTACTGTTAACCCAGGTTAATTTGAATTTTCAAGAGAGTTGGAGAGTGCTTTAAAGACAAAATTCAATGCTTCTCATTTTGAGGACAGATTGACATTACCTCGCTGGACACACACAGAGTGGGGCGTGCACCTGGGCCTGGGTTCAGCTCAGGGAATGGCACGTTGACTGTGAGCCCCTTCCTATTCTTTTTGCTTTAATTTCTTTTTGGCTGTACTGTGTCTTCATTGCTCTGCTTGGGTTTTCTCTAGCTGTGGCGAGTGAGGGCTACTCTCTAGCTGCTGTGCGTGTGCTTCTCACTGCGGTGGCTTGTCTTGTTGCAGAGCACAAGCTCGAAGGCGGGCTTCAGTAGCTGCGGCAAAGGGTCTCAGCTGCTCCGCAACATGTGGGATCGTCTTGGACCAGAGATCATCGAACCCATCTCCCCTGCATTGGCAGGCGGATTCTCAGCCACTGGATGACCAGGGAAGTCCCTTGTTCCTATTCTTGAGGAGCTCAGACACTAGCTATTACTGAGTTGTCCCTCTGGTGGGTCATCACCCCTAACAGCTCTCATGTTGGGATGTGTTTCCACGGGACAGGGGCAAAGGAGGCCTAGGGAAGCTCCTTTCCAAGGCACCCGTGGTGGGCTTTTCAGTTACATCTATACAGTAGGACAACTCTTTGTAACAGGAAAGACCAGGAAAACCCAAACATATTATATATCCAAATACAACTTATGCGTATATAAAACTATGAATTTGCATGCACACACACACACATAAATGAGTATGCATACATTTTAAGAAGCAATGATCATATTTTGAGCATCTGGGTTTCCCAGGCTCTGTGAAGCACTCCCAGAAGGGCCCCCCTTCCCCATCAGGTCACAGAACGATCAGGAAGTCAGGTGCTCACCTTGCTGCCACAGTGTAAATTGACTCCAGTCACCCTTCTCCCTCAGGTTCTCATCTTCAGGCAGGAAGAGGCCCTGGGTTTTATCCATCGCTGCAAGGCCTTCATCTCGGATTAACTTCCAGTTTCTTTCTAAGGACTAGAGAGAAGATTCTGGACTGAAAATATGCCTGGTAATACACCTTAGAGTGACATTCAGCTTTTTGTTTGTCTGATTAATAAGTAATGAAAACTTCCCTCTCGTCTAAATTTGGTGTTGTTGAGTCGCTAAGTTGTGTCTGACTCTTTGTGACTCCATGGATGGTAGCCCGCCAGGCTCCTCTGTCTGTGGGATTCTCCAAGCAAGAATACTGGAGTGGGTCGCCATGCCCTCCTCCAGGGGAATCTTCCCAACCCAGGGATTGAACCCATGTCTCTTAAGTCTACCTGCATTGGCAGGCAGGTTCTTTACCACTAGCATCACCTGGGAAGCCCATCCAAGACATTCACCCCATCCTGAATGCACCTAAATCGCCAACACTCCCTGCAGCTATTGTAACTTGTTCAAGCCATGAGATGAATCTGTTCGATTCTTGTTAAACTGCCACACTAATGGGAGAATTACTGCTCTAACACATGGAATTACTTTTCAAATGAGGCCATTGGTGGGTGCCTCGTACGTCAGGCTCTTCCTCTCTGCCCTCCTGGTATTTTAGAATCTTCTTTCATTTCTTTTGAAAGCTGATTTTAGGGGCATCTTTGGAAAGAGCTGATCTTTTGTTCCTAAAACAGGGCATGAAGCCCTAGGGAAAATGTTAAAGTGATTACATCACTAAATACAAATTTTTAAATTTTCCTTAAGAGCAGGCTGTCTTTTACATGTTAAGTGTCATTCCACCCCCTCCTGCCTCCTCTCCCCAGGGTTCCCCTAGGCTGAGAGACTTTTCCATGAGCAGTAGTGACTTAAATTTTTTTTTTTCTTGTTTGCACAGAGGTGCTGGATGACAGACTCAAGGCTGAAAGTAGAAAAGGGGTGCATGGTCTCCCAGTTGGCCCCCAATGGGAAATACTCCAGTAGCAGCACCACTGACTCCTCAATCTGCTGAGCAAATGCTGCATGGACGTTGCCTTTTTTCCTGTATTTATTTATCATGAAACAGCCACTCAGCATGTTCTCTCTAGAGCTCAGTACTTGGAGGTAGAATCTGACAACTGGAAGGATCTGTGTTGTGGGTGTTGTGAAGACTGCTGTCTTGGGGGATGACAGGGAACTTGGGCAGTGACTGAGTCTAGGCTCTCACAGTCTAGGGCCAGATACTGGCACGGTAGTCCCCCTCACCATCACCTCTGGGGCATCTGTGGAAGGAGGAGGTCAGACCGCAGAGGGCTTGGGCCCCTGCTCCCCTCTGGGGAAGGTCCTGGTGGAACAAGGTGCCCACTGACTGAGTATTGGGCACCTCTCAAAGGGAGCACACACTCTGATGGCTGGGGAAAATGGGGCTAACCAGAGATTACACAGTTCTGCACGGTGACTTGATGAAAAACACAGAGAACAGAACCATCACGACCCCCTACGTGTTTCACAGAGCCACTTTTTCTAGCAAAGTAATTATTGTGCTTGAAGGTGGCTCAGTGGTAAAGAATTTGCCTGCCAAGGCAGGAGACACAAGAGACACGTTCAATCCCTGGTTCAGGAAGATCCCCTGGAGAAGGAAATGGCAAGCCACTCCAGTATTCTTGCCTGGAGAATCCCATGGACGGAGAAGCCTGGAGGGCTACAGTCCACGGGGTTGCGGAGTTGGACCCAACTGAGCGATGAAGCAAGTATTCTTAATGACTGTACTTGGGTATGTTTTTCAGTTTTGGAAAGACACCAAAAAGAGAGTCTCTTTTTTGGGCATGGGGGGAGGGAATCTGGAATTGGTCCTGGGAATGGCATTTTCAAGCATAAACCAAGGTACCACACTGTAAAAATTTAATGGTTACAGGAATTAAAGGCCAAATAAAACTTTTTCTTGTGTGCATGCATGAGGGACATAGAGAGACACAGAGCAAAGGAAGAGGTGGGGAGTGAGGTAAGGGAGGGAAGAAGGACAAGGAAAAGGAGAAGGAGGAGGAGAAAAGAAGGAGAAATGTATCTTTTCTGTAATAGTATCATTAGTCTTCTGACTTGGCAAATAACTCCATTTTTTAGGAAATTCCAACAGGAACCTGAAGGCTTGCACAGAGCAGGCCATGCCTACATTCTCATCTGAAATATTACTTCCTTGACCCTACATTCATTCATTTTGTAAAACTGAAAAGAGAGATTCATAGGGTTGGTATTTGGGTTGGTTGCCCAGAAAACAGCAGCTTCTGACTCACATTTTTTCCTCTGACTACACAGACTTTAGCAAACAGAGATCTGTTTGTTTTCACAATGCTTTGTGGCCCCATAAACCCGTCATCAGCACTTGCCTTTCAGTTAAACCTCAGCTATATTGGGCACTCCACTCATCTATAAATGGACTTCCCAGTTTCAAGCCTCATTAATCCCACCCTGTGCAGCCAGCGCTCCTTAATCCTCCCCCTGTTCCAGTGCATGATGGTTTCCTCTTTTTGCAGTTATTCTGCTCACTCCACTTAGATGGCATACTTTTTTCTTCAACATCAAATTACATGAAGTCTTACTTTTAAAGGCTTCTCCTAAAACACTGATTTCTAGCAGAAAGCCTTCAGAGGTGCAAAAGAAAGCCAAACGAATTCTTCACCATTTCACTTGCTATGTTCATTCTATTAAGAAATACACATTTTAAAAAAGTGAAATATTACTACAAGTTTTATAATAAAAGCAGCAGTCTCTTACTCAAGTTTTCCCCAGTCTTGAGTCCCATCCCCAGATAACTGCTTTAAATATTTTTTCTCATCTTTACCTGCTTCTATCTAAGTAATATATTTATATTGCTATCTTTTGATTTATTAATTCTAGACTTTATCACTCATTTTCTACCAGGGAAGGGAACAAATTTGATGTCTTCTTTTTCTTCTTCTGCATCTAGAAATTCAGCTCATTTCACAAACCTTTCACACATTTGAGTAAGCTCCCATTTGAGTTTTATTGAGTTGTAACAAATACACTTTGTTTCACATGCAGCATATATAAATTCTGCCTCCTTTTCTTTGGCTCGATTTTCTAACGCCCTTAACACTGCTTCTTCTTTATAGTCCTGAAAGTGTGCTGTAAAATCTCTTGATACTATGCTACCTTTTGCCAAAAATATCATATAAGCTCTTTCTCTGAAGATAACCTACAGCAGCCATCTGCTTTGCTCTGCTCTGAACTGGGTGGTGTCTGGGCTTGCTGGACCATTGTCATCAGGGAACTTCTCTTGACCTCTGCCCAGTATGAGGCTCCCTAATTACTCAATTCTAATCTGAATAAAGGATTATCTGTGTTCCTGAGAAAGGACACACACTGCAGATAAAACTGAATTTCTAAAAGTATCTGTTTTTTTTTTTAATTTTCATTGAAGTACAGTTGATTTACAATGTTGCATTAATTTCTTCTGTATAGCAAAGTGATTCAGTTATACATTATATATATATTCTTTTCCAATATGGTTTATCACAAGATATTGAATGTAGTTGTCTGTGTTATACAGTAGGACCTTGTTGTTTGTCCATCCTATATATAGTAGTTTTCATCTGCTAATCCCAAAAACGCAATCTTCCCCTGGACAACCACAAATTTGTTCTCTATGTCCATGTCTGTCTCTGTTTCACAGATATATTTGTGTCAATTTTTTAGATTCCACAGATAAGTGATATCATATGGTATTCGTCATCCTCTTTTTTATTTATCTGAAGTTGTTCTTACACTTGATCGAAGGCTTGACTATGTACAGGATTCTAGCCAGTGAATAATTTCTAGGTAGGCTTTTGGACAGCAAAGAGCTCAAACCAGTCAATCTTAAAAGGAAATAAGCTTTGAATATTCATTGGAAGGACTGATGCTGAAGCTGAAGCTCCAATACTTTGGCCACCTGATGTGAAAAGCTGACTCGTTGGAAAAGACCCTGATTCTGGAAAAGACTGAGGGCAGGAGAAGAAGGGGGTGACAGAGGATGAGATGATTGGATGGCATCACTGACTCAATGGACATGAATTTGAGCAAGCTCCAGGAGATAGTGGAGGACAGGGAAGCCTGGCCTGCTGCAGTCCATGGGGTCACAAAGACTCGGCTACAACTTAGTGACTGAACAACAATAGGTTTGGTTTCCTTTGAATCCTCTCCCCAGCTTGTGGAGGGCTACTTTCTGTGTTCTTACATGGTCTTTCTTCTGTGTCCTCAGACATTCCTGTGTGTCCAAATTTCCTTTTCTAATAAGATGCTAGTCATATCAGACTAGGGCTCACCCTAACAGCCTCATTTTAACTTTATCTCCTTAAAGGTCCTATTTCCTAGTACGGTCATATTCGTGGGAATAGGAATTCAATATACAAGTTTTGAGGGGACACAGTCAATGTGTAACATTAATGCAGATTCAGGTTAAAACTAGACCCAGCTGAGAAAGCCGACAGCAGATGGGAGGGGATCCGTATGCCAGTAAATCTATGGCAGCAAAACAAAACACAGTCATGGAAAAAATCAGAAAGAGATACACATTTAACATGTGGACAAAACATAATACAAGATAAGCCTAAGCAAGGTTAGGTAAGTAACTATGGGCAAACAGAGACACTGGCAGAAATCCCAGAGCTGTTTGTGCCTTGAAAGTTCCTGACTCCAAACTGAGAGAAGGCAAGTGATCCAAGACTATTCCAGGCCAAGTTTCCACATTAAATCAGAGTTAGAATGAATTGATAACAGTAGTTCATTAGTAAAATGTATACCCTTTTAATCCTAATTGTCTAAGACATGTTTGTTAGTTAACTATTTTAGGAATTCCAGACCTGACTTTTTAGAGATAAAGTCAGTTTACTTAAATCTTGGCTAAAACAAGCCTATACTTTATACCGTGATGAAAGGACATAGGTAGCAGTGTCCTCTGCCTTTGAGAGAATATAGCAGGGTAGAGGGGCAGCCCCCTGAGTGCTGAGCTGAAGTTATGAAATCCAAGCAAACACCATAGGAAATGCGATGCTCTCACAGCAAACTAATTTTAATAAAATCTCTGGGGA